AAAGTTATGCCAAACACGCAGAACCCGAACGAAGGGAAGTTGGGACCGAACTGGGAAGGTCCGTATCAAATTATCGAGATCACCCGAAAAGGGTCCTACAAACTCGGAGCAATGAACGACGAGCAATTACCAAACAACTGGAATATAACTAATTTGAAACGATATTACTGCTAAGGTACTACCCCATTCATTTATTTTATTTACATTTTGAACTAACACTTGCAGGTAACCAACAAGGAATGACACAATTTTTAGGCTTGAAAGCACGCGTTGCACTCTTTTTCCCTTAAATCGATTTTGTCCCAAATGTGTTTTTCAGCAAGGTTTTTAACGAGGCAACATTGGATCGTGGTAACATAGAATCGAAGGCAGGTTCTGAACCAGTATCAAAGATAACGACAACAATATTCGAGGCCTCACTACAATCAACCCCGAACACTAGGGGGCATTACCCTCGGATAACGACTTTAGCAAGGAAAGAAACTTTGTGATTAAATGGTCTCGGCTCGACTGATTGGATTTACTGTAAGGGCCAAACGGTCAAATGAACCGTGCCCGCATAGACCGCTCGAGCCTTGGCACAAAGCTTGTACACATGTGTAACTATTATGTACAAGAATAAAAAGAAGTCTCTACCTTGCGGATAAATATCTTGTCCTTTAAAAAATATTCTTAAGGAATTTCCTACATCCGATCCCCTAAAGGTATCGAGCCCAAGGGCCGCCTTAATCCGAATTCAAACAATCATTCCCACTCGGGGATTGCCGTCCAAAGACAAACTCGAACGGACCAAGCTATCAGAACCCGGTGGCACAAGACCTATTAGGCAGTGCCCGAACTTTAAAGGCTACGGTCGTCCCTATTCGGGGACTGTTATCTTAGGCAAGCCTGGATAACTCGGGGTAACAAGACCACTGTGCAACACCTGAACTAAAAAGGCTACGGCCATATTAAAACGGCTCGAAGATGTCCGAGACCCGTAACAAAAAATAAGGCCTTCAAAATTTCTTAACCGGTTCTAAAGGCTACCCTTGGCAAAATTATAAGTACTTTGGGGAAAAAATTTCGGTCATACCGAATCCCCACGATGACTTAAACAAAACAATATCGAAGGCAAGGCATGTTCGAACCCCCGAACATGACCTAACTATTTCATCCTAAGGCATTTCGATCTTTGCAAAAATAAACAATAAAGCAAAGGAAAACAAAACTCAGAGATTGTCAAAGGGAAAAAGAAGCCTTGTATTATATATAGTCCTTACAAAGGCCAAACAACCTTTACAAAAAGTACACAGGTACAAAAATACAAAAAATAAATAAAAATGTACAACGCATTAAAATGGCATGGTCTTCACCGGAGCATGCCTCGTCGCCAGGGGCTTCGGAGTCTCCTCCACCCTCGGATCCACTCAAACCTTCGGAGCCTTCATCATCCTTGGGATAAGACAACTTCTTGGACTCGGCTTCGAGCCTCTTAGCACTCTCAGTTTCTGCCGACAGGCCGAAACCCCGAGCATGAATTTCCTCTACGGCCTCCCTTCGGGAGTGCTTCTTCGCGTGCTCGATAATATCCTTTGCTCGATCCTGGGACGCCGCGACATCGGCCTTATATTGGGCCACAATCTCGTCGGCATCGGCTTGAACCACCACGGCTACCGACTTGGTCGTTTCACACTCCTTGGCCAGAGTTTCTCGATCAAAGACGATCGAACTTAACTGATACTGGAGATCCTCAATCATTTTTGGCCCACACCACGGCCTTTTCCTTTGCCGCTCGATGTTGGACCTCAACCAAAGACAATTGCACTCGGGCAGTTTTCTTTTTTCGAGGCCAAGCGGTCCATTTTGCTTTTTCATTCCTCGGCCTCGACCTTTATCACGTCCATCTCTGCCCGAAGCTGGTCGATCCGATCAAGCTTCTATTGGACCTGCGGGTTCGGAGAGTTGGTCACCAAGTCTAGCTCATCATTACTAACCTCAAAGACTTTTACCTTTTTCGCCAGGTCGGCGTGCTCTTTCCGATCCACCTCTAGCTCAACTCAGAGGCTCTTAGCCTCCCCTTCTCGTTGCTCGCTGAGAAGTTTGTAAGCATCTCTCTTCTCAGTGAGCCCTCGAACCTTGGCCTCAAACTGGTTGAGCTCGTCCTGATATCGGAGAAAAGTCTCATGATGAAGCACCGAGGCCTACAGACACAAAGAAAAATGTTATGATTATCTATAAATTAATCTAGGTACAAATTAAAAGTCATCAAGAGGTATCTGAAGTTACCTGGTTTAACGCTTGTTGTGCTCCGTTGAACAGGCAGGGCACGTCCACCGCGTCCATCTTGGCTTGATCTTCCTCGGTTACCAGACACCAAAGATAACTGGCCACCCCTACGGGGGCAGAGAGGACCCGCGCATCCTCCGGAATGGAGATGATGATCGATCTCTTACGGTCAGGATCCACACTCGGAGCTGGGAAGCGGTTGATTAGTTTCGGACTTGAGGAAGGTCCAATTGTTCCCAAAGATGGACTCTTCCTCGGCACCACTAAGTCGCCCAATACAGTGACGTCCTTTATGGCGGTAGAATCCACGCCGTCAAAAAAGCCGTGGAGGGGGTCTTCCGTTCCTTGGGCCCCCTCGTTGGGACGTTCTTTCACCATATGAGCCTCGTTATTCATGGACTCAGTGAACAAAGGCGACTCAGAGATGTCTATCACACCGAGTGTATATTTCGGGGCATTGCCTGCAACCCGGGAAGCCTCGTCCATGGCCCCCTCGTCGGCCTCCGTAACTTGAGGCAAATCAGCCTTGTCCCTCACTGGTTAGGAAGCCTCAGCTACAGCCTCCTTGTCGGCTTCCCTAAATTAGGGCAATTCAGTATCACCTCTCTTTTGTTCGGAGGCCCCTTTCCCGTCGAGCTGTGACAGCTCGTGGGCCACCAGTTCAAATTCTTCTTCTTCTTCGGACTCGTCCCTCAGCCGGTAGAGTGAGTCCGATGATGGCGCTCGGGCACTGGTGCTTTATTTGGATTTGCGCACCTACCTCTCCTTGGTTTCTTCTTTCCGAGTTCGGAGAAATCGGAGCCTTTTTCCTTTTCTTCTCACTACCCTGTCTAGGAGCAGGGGAATCAGCGGGGAAGTCCTCGCCACCGGATGGAGGCCTCAGTATGATGTCCTTGGACAAAGCTGCCAGAGGAAACGAAACAAGTGAGAACTTAGTAACACAAAAGGAACCAAAATATTACTCACTCGGGAAAGGAATCTCACCATGAGAACGGGCCTCCCAACGACCCTTCGGGAGTTCGGGCTATGCGCGCTCAGAATATGGCCTTTGTAAAATGATAACCTCGACCCACTCCTTGAGTCGAGGGACTGCATTCGCGACCCGAGCGACATCTACACCACCGCAAAGAACCAATAAGAAGGAAGGAAAAAGAGTAAAATAAAATCTTGAAAACGATATTTTACTTGTGTTATATTCCATTTCTCAGGGAACGACATGCACTCAGCTGGGATCAAGTCCGAGGTCCTCACTCGGACAAAACAGCCTAGCCAGCCTCGATCCCGATCTTCATGGATACTCGAGAATGGGGCTTTACTAGCTCGACACTCGAGCTTGATCAGTCCCTCCCCCCCGAAAGAGTCGGGGACTGTATAGGCGCATGAGGTGGTCAACGGTGAACGAGCATCCATCGATCTTGATCACGAAGAACCGAAGAAGGATCACGATCCTCTAGAATGAAGAATGAATTTGACCGAGGCATACCTCGTATCTTTTGCAGAAGTTGATAATGACCGGATCCAATGGGCCCAACGTAAAGGGATAAGTGTAAACACTTAAGTATCCCTCGACGTGGGTGGTGATATCTTTATCAGGTTCGGGTACCACCACGTGCTTGTCAACCCAATTGCAATCCCTTTTGACCGTAGGGAGGACTTCTCCAGTGATCAAGCATACATATCTTGAGACCTCCTCATATCGTCCTGGTACGGAGAAAGGTTTTTCAACCTTGAAATTGGCGGTTACTGAGCATCCGCCAGGGATGAACATTGTGAATGGGGGTTTCGCTGTTGGTTCCTCGATAGCAGTATGCGGAACGGTCTTCTCGGCAGCTGACTGCGAGGTAGAAGGAGTTTCTTTTTGGGGAACGATGTTTGAAGTCTTTGCCATTTCTTTGAAAAATGGAGGAGAAATAGAGGAAGAAAGGAAGTTGAAGGCTTGAGATGAAGATGTAAGAAAGTTCTTGGAAAAGATCCTAAATAAACCAGATTATAATTGCTAGAGAACATCGAAATTTCAAAGATACGAGGGTAGAAAGTTTGGATGTAAAGTAAAAATGAACAAATGAGGGGGTATAATAGTTTTTACCGGCGGTTCGCATCCAGGAGTGGCCGACCGGCAACTGACAAGCATTTAATTCCATTAAGACTTGACTGACGAGATGTTTCGTTTATTTTGTCATTTATGTCGCGGGTTATCGAAGTATGAATCGAATGCTCATGTCGTTTCTCGTCATCTACTCTCCGAAAAATGAGGGGACTATCGGTATACGGTCGAAATTGAACTCGCCTACGACATGGTAGGTCAGGCTTGGAACTTGGCAATAAAAGGACTGAAGATCGACTCCAAATCCCACCAGGCTAGAACCCGGGGTCAGAACGCCTGCCCTCGAGAACATTGGGCCCGTACTCTCGGAGTCGACCCTAACCCCGAATAAGCTCAATGAAATATTGTTAGCATTACCAATAGAAGACCAAAATATCCGTGACCAGTCGGATATTACGGCGGGAATCTCGGCACGTATCACACTACAAGAAAATAGCTTGTTAGCGACCAGCATTTATCGACGAGCTAAGAATCTGGTCCCTGAAAGTACACTTACAAGGACGAGTTTTTTTATTGGTCCTTAATTGTCGGTTTTGTTTGTTTAGTCAGGGATAGGAATTAATCTGGTCGTCAAAATCATGAAAAGTCGGTCCTTAATTCTCTAAGTTGAGCGGGAATAATGGCTCCAATATTCTGAATGAATTATATAAAAAATAAAATATTCTGAACATTAAAGAAATAAAAGCACAGGTTTTTTTGTCACCCTCTTCAAAACCCTAGACCATCCCTATTTGCTATCAAAGTGGCGATTTCTTTCTATTTCTGATTTTTCACTGCCATTTTCTTGCTTATTTCCTCAATCAAAGAGATGATTTAGTTCACCCACCACTGATATCTGTCGTTAGTCGACTATTTTGTTCACGGCTTCTCATTGGTGCAGAGCTTTTCTTCTTGGTTAGTGCATTTGCTTTTAGTGCTTTTTATATCTTGTATTCAGAATTATGGTTTATTTTTCGTTTGGTCTACATAGATTGGTCAATTTTGTTCGACTAGATTACTCCCTTTATTGAAGTATTTTTTTTTTAAAATTTTTTGGGGGATAATTGAATATATTCCTTGGAGCATTATCTAAAGCTAGATTTCATGTTAAATGTTGGTGTTTTCACTCTGGGTGTAGAGAAACAAACCTTAAAAGGATGAAAGAATAGAGCAACGCCTACTGGATCTACCGGATCAGGGCAAAAAGTATCCTATCTAGTTCAAATTAAGTGTTGTAATCTACTCATGTTAAGAACTTCAATTGTATGTTGAAAGATATTTTTTCTTGCACATTTGAAGTAAACATAATATTCACATAGCTTTATTTTTATGTACGCTGCAAATGAACTCGATTTCTCAACTTCAAAATGAGAAAGAGGCTGTTTATGTAGCATTAGGAAAATAAATAGCGTATTTCATTAATTGTAGTTGTTAAGCCTCTAAGAATCTTAAGAAAACAGAGGCAGTGGATGATATGGTGTTAGATTTGTGAAGGAATACCCAAATATTTTGATGATTCACATTTATCTATTTAAGAAATCAAAGAAGAAAGCTTTATATTTGTGATAGACGAATAAATGAGTACGGTTGTAAAAAGTTAGGACCCCTCCTCTAGAGTGGTGAGTTGGGTGATGCTATGAAACTTGGTAACGAAACCAGAATAAGAAAGGCTGTCATGAATGATAAGGTATAAATGATTTTTTGATAAAGGATCTTAATTAAAATCTTTTCTTGAATTTTTGGACATGTATAAACAATAACACTTAGATTCTTTCCTATCTGAGTTTTCTCTTCTAACATTGATTAGGTAATGATTCTAAGCTCTAATGATGACATAGATCGGAAGTTTACAAATGTCTGGTTAATACAAAATATAGTAAAAGAATAATCCTTGTTAACGCTCTCTGTGTATTATGTACAACACAAAACTAGTCATCTGATGGATGATACTGTATTATATGGTGCTAATAAGATGTAGCACGTCGATGCATCACTCTTTATTACAGCATTTTGGAGCACTTAAACAACTACAAAAAGATTATGAGAATACATTTATGGAGAGTTTCCCTTAAGAATTATATATATGCCTTAATACTTCTCCAGCCAATTCTGTAATCGTTTGTGAGCAACCTAACATTATTGAATATACTTTTTTTTCTTATATGCCTTGCATCCTATTTATAGGGTTCGAAAAATCATATACCTTCAGATTATGGATGTTAACAAATCACCAAGTTCTTTCAGTGCGGCATTTGATGGTACTACAATGATGGGATCAGTATTCAGCTTATGAGCTTTGGGCTAGGATTGAGGTACAAATATTTGGTTGAAATGTTGCTTCCTATAGTCTATTTGAAACGCCTAAGAGAATAAGTGATGCTGTTAAACCATCTCATGAAGGTGTTATTTTTATAAGTACATTTAGTTGCTTATGTTATGCTATTTTATCTTTTCTGTTGTTGATTTGCCTTAGGAGAAGAACTCTGATTTTATGAACAAAGTGGCTTAGAGAAGCTTCCAAGTATAGGAAGAATAAAGCAGACATAAAATATACTCCCATACAATACTGAAAGAATGAATGTTCTGTTGAGTTTTCTCCAAACTTAAGAAAAGCTCACATAATGTTGTGTATCATTCATCTCAAGTATTCTCTGCAAATAGAATGTGGTATCTTATATTAAAATCTATTAGAATTTGTTTACAGTTTTGATTATCGTATTGATTTTGATTACTCAAATGAGTTATTTCTCTAGAACTATATATAAAAGCTACTTTTATATATATATATATATATATATATATATATATATATATATATATATATATATATATATGTGTGTGTGCGCGCGCGCGCGCGCGCGTGTATATATATATGTGTGTGTGTGTGTATTTCCTAATCATTATTGTCTGTATTATTGCAACCCCTTTGCACGTTGATGTTTGATATTTGAAGTATATATACTTACAGTTGATGAATATGAATTTTATTGTGGTGAGTGGTTAGGCCATTGTTGGAATTGTATTAAAGGTAAAATTATTTAACAAATTTTTGTAGTCGAGCTTTATAGTTCTTCTACAGACAAATTATTCTGTATGTTTTACAGGGTTTGAAGACTTTCAAGAGATGCAGTTTTGAAGACATAACATGTTCACGAGTTGGCTATCATTTTACTAGGACTATTGGTCAATACAATGTATTATAGGGATTTTAAGGACCATTTTTCTCGTCCTTAAAAGCCATTTTTCTTGTAGTGTCAATAAGGAACCGGGATCAACAAATCAAGAGATTTTATCTTTTATAGAAATTGTACCTAAAGTAGGACTCCTCTACTATATAAAAGGGGTCCGATAATTCATTCAACATGTTGTAACACGCATTCCAAAGCAATACATTATTATTTCTCTCTTTAAGCTCTTACTCTATTGTATCTTGATACTGATCAAGGGGCATCCAATTCGAGGGTGGCTGACCTTCCAAGACTGAAATTATCCCATTCGTGTGGTTTGAATTTACTTTTTCATTGTTTATTTTAATTACAACTTAATTTATCGATTTGTGTCAAGTTAATCCACGTATTTTTAAAACCACTTATAATTCAATTGTTATCCGATTTTGAGGGTAAACAATTATTTTGAGTGCGGTTCATTTCACACAACCAATATAATTAGAAAATTGTGGATTTGATCTTACATATGTTGACTGACATCAATTGAATGATACACCGTTGCAAAAGGATTAAAATATGTAAACATCACTCAGATCAAATCAATTAGATCTGTCTTCATGAATTTTAGCCAGTGGTCAACAAATAATAAATGATATGCAAAAGGCAGCACGTCTTAAAAAGGAAAATTAAAAAATCTTGCTCTAAATTTTCCATTCTAACAAATACCATACAAGTTGGCGTACTTTTCTAGTTTCCTTGTGACATCGTATAAAATATCAAGGAAATGCAACACACATTGACATTACTAGATGACGTTTTAAAGTTTTTAATTTATGGTTAAGCTTGACTTTTTTATATTTTAGTACAATTTTGTGTTCTTTTATTTTTTGCTTTGGTGGATCAAGATTCAAGAGATCAAGTTTATAATTTTATGATTGTTACACAAATAGCCGTCCAGATTTAGTATTTACTTTTTCTAGCCGATATACATAGATTATACATTAGTTATGTACATTTATATATATTATACATGAATTATTTACCTATTATATATCTATCGGCTATTTTTAATTTAAGAGTTTAGGTGGGCGGTTCTGCCATTTTTAACATAGAAAAAAGAAAAAAAGTAGAGAAGACTTAGCTGGAAATCAATAACTAAAAGACCATGGAATTTGGACTCATGACACTGTAATTCAAATTATCATATCTGAATTGGCTTTTCATTTCTTCCCAATATTATAATAATCAGTTTTGGATTAGATTCAAAAGGAGATGGATAGAAAGAAAGAAAGAAATGTAATTGTCAGTCAATCAATTGTAGAATTAGAAAATACGAAACTTATAAATCAGAAATCCTTGACTCGATTGAACACCAAAAAATCATATATAAATCATAAAAGACATAAAAAGTAGTAATAATTTTCGAGCCATGAGTTCGATAAGACTTCGCAGAGTTATCCCATTGTCGTCGAATCAATTTATAAAATAGGGAATTACTATATATAAATCACGTATTCATGAACGGAGAAGAAAAGAAAGAAAGTGACACATTCAAGTGTAATAAGGACAAATAGAAAGCCAACAACTTTTAACAAAATTTTCAATAAAATTGATTGTAAAAAAGGAGCAAAAGAAAATCCTATACAACTACTTCAACTGATGTGTCCCTTGCATCTGAACAAAGAGACCAAATATAGGTTCACATCTAAGAAAAAGATCCAAATGCTAAAAGTTTCTAACAAGTGGAGTCTAACATATATCCTTATTAAATATAACCACCAATTCGCTTCTTTCCCAAAAACCAACTCTCTAGTCAAATTTTCTTGCCTTTTTGAGTGTGAAATGTGAATAGTCTTGTGCCAAGTTTTTCTGTAAATAGTCACACCATTAAAGTGAGTATATCAAGTGATGAGATACATAGAGATAGGGGTGTACAAAGAAAACCGATAAATCGTACCAAATCGATAATTCAAATCAAACCGGGGAAAAAATCTGATGTGGTTTGATATTGGAAAATAAAACCCGGCCATAATTTGGTTTAGTTTAGTTTTAATTAAAAAGAGTCAAACCGAAACCAAACCATTTCGATAGTACATTTATATAATTTTTAAAAATATTTTATACATATAAATATTAATTGTATTGTAATTTATAAATATTTTTTAAACTTTTTCACAGTTTTATCTTTTAACGTATTATTTCAAGTTTAGACTTAAGTTTCTTGAATGGTGAATAAATTTTATAGCCCATAAATGTAGTAACTCAAACAAAGTTCAAATGAATACTGTTGAAGTATTGATTAACAATCTGATACTTAACTATAGTTAATTATTATTGTAATAACTATCTAGGTTGGTTAGTTTGTTAATAAAGGTAGTTACACTCTGTTTGGATCGTTGTTCCCCATCGTTTTATAATGTATTGTATTGTATTATATCGTATCGTTTTATGAATACAATGTTTCGATAGATTGTATTGTTTGTTATTGTTAATTAATATTTTACTGATTGGTTTGACCGTATCATACCGTAATGTAACTGATAAGTTTACTAAAATATCCTCAATTGTTTAAATATTAAATTTATCAAAAATTATACATACAAATAATTTTAAAAAACAAAACAGAAGAAGGCAAAACACCTTAAGAAAGCAGAACAGAGGAGCGAGACAGAAGAAAGCAAAACAAAGGAGCATATCTAATTAGAATCGAGTTAAAAGCAAATTAGGAGAAAATATAAAACAGAAGGCGTTAGCAGAAGTTCTGGAAAAAAAGAGTAGGTTATAGGTTGGAGATTTGGAGTTAAAATAAAAAAAAAAGGTAAAGGGTAAAATAGAATTATGGAGTAATAAGTTAGGGCATAATTGGAAAGAAAAATAGGAAACAATCCCACCCCACCAAATCGGTTGTTTCAAAAAAAGAGAACTTTTTATTGTTCCGGAACAATGGATTTAACAATACAATACAACCAATTTTAATGAAACAATCAAAACAAACATTATTCTGGGATAACAATACAATACGATACAACGGGGAACAACCATCCAAACAAGCTGTTAGTTAGTGATTAGAGTTATATAAATATTTGTACTCTTAGAACAGCTTGTTTCACAATTTCATTTTTGCTTCGTCAGCCACTTCAATAAAACAGTTCTCGTTTCTCATCTTCTTCACTGTGCTAGACTTCTCTATTCTCAAGCTCTAGATCAAACGTCCATGGCAGCTAACATGGTATCAGAGCCACCAGCAATGATCTAGCCTTTTCTGCGATCCTCTCCTTTGCTTCAAGATTACTTCAATTCTGCAAAATTAGGTACAGAATTGTCTTAGAGTGATCTCAAATCGAAGCTAGGGTTTATAATTTCTCTAAAGCTGCAATCAACAATGACGATTGGTACTGAAGATGACAATACAACAGCTAGTACACCAGCTAATGGCATTTTTGGCAATTCTGCTCCAGTTTGTTCGTCGTTTCCCTCTATCGATGATAATCACCCGATGTACTTGCAACCAACTGACACACCAGGTAGTTCTCTAGTCTCTATTCAATTGACTGGTTCTGATAACTATGCCTTATGGAGTCATGCTATGGGAATTGGTTTGTTAGGTAAAAGTAAGTTAGGTTTTGTCGATGGAAGGTTTCTAAAATTAAAGTTCGAACCAGAGCTTCATGATTTGTGGGAAAAGGTTAATGTTGTTGTTTTGTCTTGGATAATGAATGTTGTAAGACTTGGTTTGCTGAGTAGTGTACTATATGCATCCAGTGCTCATAAAGTGTGGGAAGATCTAAAAGAGAGATTTGACAAAGTGAATGGTACGGTTCTAGGGTGTTGTTTCTTCATAGAGAAATGCACAATTTGACTCAAGGAACCATGACTATAGCCGACTACTTCTCAAAGCTGAGAGATTTGTGGGATGAGCACTTTGAGGCTCAAAGACTACTGCAATTTCTCACTAGTTTAAATGACTCATATGCACAGTCTAGAAGTCAAATTATGATGATGACTCCAGTGCCTACTATTAACAGGTTACTCACTACTTGTTGATCAAGAGAGCCAAAGAAATTTGGTAAGCATGTCTCAAGTTACACAGCTTGCAAAAGGTCTAGAGGGCACTGCTTTTTATAGAAATAAAGGTCCAAATATCACAAGTGGAGGTTATAGACAAAGGAAGAACAATATTTAATATGAATACTGTCGTTACAAAGGCCATACCAAAGAAAATTGCTTCAAACTAATAGGCTATCCACCAGACTTCAAGTCTAAAAGAAAGGAAGTGCACCTGGACTCTATGCTAATTTTGCAGGTAATCCAAACTTTGCAGCTGAGGAAGAGCACATCAGCTGTGCAAATAAGCTGAACCTTGTGTCTCATCACCAAAAGGGATTCATCTCAGCTAATCCCGTGACACCAAAATGACACAGACACAACCCTTTTTCACTAAGGAGCAATACCAGCAGATTGTTCAGATGCTTTCCAATAGAAATGCATAAGGCCCCAGCTCATCCAGCAAAATAGTTGTTGCAGGTATTCTAAATCATATAAATGCTTTTGTGTCTCAGTGCGACAATAGTGACTAGATAATAGACACTGGAGCCTCAAATTACATAACCTCCAGACTTGAGTTACTACAAACACATAAGTCACTTTCTATAACAGAGAAAAACATAGTCCATCTCCCCAATGGTAATGCAGTGCCAATTTTACACACAGGAAGTACACATGTGTTAGATAATCAGAAGATCTCTAATGTACTCTACATTCCAGACTTTAAGTTCAATTTATTCTCAGTCTCACAACTCACCAACGAACTAAAGTGTATGGTAGGCTTCTTTCCTGACTTATGTATTTTCCAGAATCCTTACAGTGGTCAGGTGAAGGGGATTGGTAGAGAGGAACATGGATTCTATGTGCTCAAAGGAGGTATCTCAAAACAAGCTTTAGCCCAGACTTCAAATAAAAGTGCATTTACAGCTACTACTCCTACTCTTGCAGGCTCAAGCTGTTTGTGGCACAGGAGATTGGGACATGCTCCCTTAGACATGATAAGAAGAGTAGACAAGTTAAATAAACTGACTGCTAGTGACAGTCACCACTGTACTATGTGTCCTTTAGCCAACTAAACCAAACTTCCTTTCCAGCTTAGCAATACTGTCACTAAGTCTATTTTTGAATTAGTTCACTATGATATTTGGGGGCCATGCAGATTTCCTACCCATGTTGGAAGAAGATTCTTTGTCACTATAG